CTTTGGTAGATGTCTTTTCTCTACACTTTTAAACAATAACACAATAAGACCTTAACACCTTTATAGCAAAATTTCACCTCTAAAATAAAGGTCCTTACCTTAGGATGCCTTAAATCACCTCTCTACCCAAAAACTACTCAAAAGCCCTTTAAAATCCTTGAAGGATTGGATGGAAAGTAGAGAGAAAATGGTGAATGAGTATGGCGGTGGAAAAAGATGAATGAAAGGGTTTCTAAGACTTAACCCTTATTTACTCATATTTTACACCTTCTTTCCTAACTTACCCTTACTCTTTCTATTCTTTGCAAATGCACCCCCATTTAAACTATGCTCTATGCAATTTCCTTGCATTTCACTCCCCACTTTTCTTGCCAATTAGGGGTAGAATGGTCATTGTGCCCCAAAGGAAGAATTCTCTAGAAAGTCAATACATATTTTGTCAGGCCCTTCGCCGCGGCGAAAACTTACAGAACCTACACCGTAGGTTGCAGGACTTCATCGCCGCGACGAAGCTTCTTCTTGGCCCCAGCGAAGTCTGTAACACAAAAATTCGCCAATTCTTTACAAATTTTAAGGCAACTACTCCACCAACTCACAATATCAATTCATCCAAGGACCAACCAAACTATAACAACAACAAACCAACTCAAATGAGGACAAAACAATAAACATTCAAGTAATACAACACAATTACACTACGTGCCTCAAGTGGGGCGTTACATCTGTTATGTTCTTTCTTTCAGTGTTCTACTCTTTCATTCAGTGTTCTACTCTTTCTTTCTATTCTTTCTTTCGTTCTTTTCTTTCTTTCTATGCCGATTGGACTCGGTTGAGACATGGATTCGGAACCCTGGCCATGTGAGTAGGTACAGTCCTTATCTACATGCACTTCTATTGAACTGTACAACTCTTCTTTTTGATTATGAGGCTGCTCACTAGAGGCGGCGTGCATGTAGGTAAATTCTGTTGGTACAATTCTCATCCACATACACTTTTAACGAACTGTACACTTACTTCTTTCTGATTCTGAGGCCGCTCACTAAAGGCGACGTGTATGTGGGACTATTATTCTCTGTCACTCACGGGTTCCCCATTGCAACAACCTTCTCTTCTCTTCTCATTTTACAATTAATTCTTTTCTTTCTTTTTCTTTATTCTTTACTGTTCTCATCCATGTGTATGTACATGGAACTATGCTCATTCTTTGCTATTCTTTCTAAATGCAAATGTGAGAATGCATTATGGCATATAAAAATATCATTAGAGAACTAGTATTTTCACCAACAACATTACCATACTTGAAATCAATCATAGATTATTAGACTAAAAAATATTTTGAGGTAGTCATTCTGCATAGGTCATATTCAAGAAGGCATATCTCGAGTTATACATATCGGACTGCTACGATCTTAGTCTTGTTTTAAAGGTTAGAGATAGGGCTATACTTTTATGTTTAGGTCTCAACCCATTTCAATCGGTAAGATGCCCTAAAATCACTTAGAAGGTCATGGTTGTGACAGGGCAACCAGGTAACATGTTTTGTCTTAGGATTTTCATCAAACAAATTGCATGCATACTCAAACTCTATTTGGCTACACTTCTACTTCTCTCTCTAGCCACCAATATTTGGAGCAAAACTCCATTAAATCAACACTAAACTTGGCTAGGAAACCACACTCCATAAAGTCTACTCAAACTCTTTCTAAATTCAACCAAACTTCCATCAATCAGCATATAGGCAAAGTCTACATTCTCATGGCTGAATTTTAATTATCATCAAGTATCAATCTCATCAAAACTTCTAAAAAACATAAGCACATACATACATGTACAAATCTCTATAAACTTACTCCAATCAAACTTAGGGTTGGATTTACTTACCTTGATCTTAGGTAGTTCCACACTAGAAACTCTCTCTTTGGGTAGATCTCCTCTTCTTCTTAAACCCTAAGCATATAACTATAAGAATTCAGCACTTTAAAAATTAATCTCACATTATATTGCAAGAACTCTTACCTTTGGATGGAGGCTTAGGATTGAATATCTACCAAAATCTAACCAAAAATCCTCTAAATTGGCTTGGAAATTTGATGAAGAAAATGAGAGAATTTGGAGATGAAAGTGGCGTGTGAGGGAGTAGAGAATGATAGAGTTTTCAAGAATGAACTCAAAATATCTCATTTATTACTTCTACTTTCCCATTTTGCCCTTGCACTTTCTATGAAATTCCATCTATGTCCCTTATTCAATTACAATAATGCCCTCATTTTTATTAACTTCTCCATGAAATTCTATCTCTTTTCACACCCCTCTTTTTCAACTTATTATAAGTGAAAAAACCATTTTATCCCTAATGAAATTTTAAGGCATTTTCTTCACACTTGTTCAAGATACCTTTAACAAAATTCAACTAAGGATATTAGGGAATACGTAAAGCTACGTACCGCGATGTGGGCATTACAATTCTCCCCCCTTACAAGAATTTCGTCCTCGAAATTCAAATGAAGAACTCAGGGTAACGGTTCCACATATCTTGATCTACCTCCCATATTGCTTCTTCTACCTTATGATTCCTCCATAGGACTTTTACTAGTGGAATACTTTTGTTTCAGAGCTCTTTAATCTTTCTGTTTAAGATCTGTACTTATTACTCCTCATAAACATGATTCTCTTCTAAGTCCACTTCTTCTACTTTTAGTATATGGGAAGGATCATTGACATACCTTCGGAGCATTGATACATGGGAACTATTGTGCACTCTATCCATATTTGGTGGTAGCGCCAATTTGCAAGCTACCTTTTCCACTCGTTGTAACACTTCAAAGGACCAATGTATCTAGGTGCTAGTTTTCCTTTTTCACCAAACCGCATTACCCGCTTGTAGGGGGAAATCTTAATGAACACTTTATCACCCACTTCAAATTCTACATCCTTTCTCTTTAAATCTGCATAGCTCTTTTGTCTGTCTTGAGCTTGTTTCATTCTATACTTGAGCGGCTAGACATCTTCTATCATTTTCTAAGTCATCTCTGGCCCAAGAGCTGTCTGTAACTCATCTTTCTCTCCTATCTTGTCCCAATGTAATGGAGATCTACACCGTCTGCCATACAAGACTTCATAAGGAGACATCTTTCTCCTTAGTTGCCACGACAAACTTCTGTCTTCTTTGCTAAATTTGCGGAACTACCCTCCGCTTGCTTCTTCACTTGAATTTTCGATCTTCTTGATCTTTAATAGGAAAAAACTCCGAGGGTGCTTCCAATCAGCATCAAAATTTCCTTGATCTTTTGAATTGCCCTTGATTCCAGATCCAGAAACTCATTTTTGTTTTGTTTTGCTCCAACTGCACATTTTGCCCTAAAACATAAAATATGTAGAATTAAGTAACAATTCAGACACAAAAGTCGTAAGAAGTATCCGAAAATCCTACAAAAATTAAATAGAAAATAGTATAATCTTAGGATATCAGACATCCTGACACTAATTTTATTAGGACCATGCTTATACACTGTTGGATTCATCTCATTGAAATGATATTTACAACTCAAATCCAATGGTATATAGTCATGGTCTTAACAAATTAATACCAGAATATCTTGACTAGAGAATTATTCTCTCCCTCTCTCTGTCTCTCTCTCTTTATATATATCACATTAAATAAAGAAATTATAAATTAAAATAAAAAAACACATTATAGATTATAAATTGAAATAATTATATACATTACTCATTAGAAAATAATAAATAAATAAATAAATAAATAAATATGTTAAATTTTTAGTGTATAATGTGTTTATTTAATTTGAATTTATAGTATGTAATATGTTTATATAATTTAGTGTTGTTTGTGTAAGTAATTTTTCATTTTTTTTCTTCTAAAAGGGGTATTTTTGTCATTTCAATATAATTTTAATAGTCTAACAATCTTTTATTAAGTCAATGAACTAAAAGAATAGTATTTTGAAAATAGAAAGACAAAAATATAGTATTTGAAACAATTAAACAATAGTAAACTGAAACCAGAGAGACTAAAGTAATTAACTTAACTGAAATATAACAACCTTGGTTTGACACTGACATTATAAGGGTGTTCAAAAGAACCAATCGGAATTGACAATGGTGGGTACTCGAGGTTTGGTTCCGATTCCTACTCAGGGTTTGGTTCCGGTTCCTACTGGGAATCGATCGTTAACGGGTAGGTTCCGGTTCAAAAAATCTGGAACCAATATTGTGCAGTTTCGATTCCAGTTTCTGCAGTCAAGAACCGAAATCAGAACCAGAACTGGGAACCAGACTGATATGAAATAACACTAAAGAGTGGGGGGTTTTATAATTTTACTGTCATATATAAAAACTTCAATAAGATTTCTAGGGCAAACGAATTTTGAATTTGTGATTTTGCTATCATGTATAACATTAAAGAGTGGATGTTGTTAATTGTTATGTTACTTATTTTATATGTTATGTAATTTCATCATTTTAATTTTGGAGTTTGTAATTTTGAATTTGTGATTTTTCAACAGATTAGTGTAAATTGTAATATGAAATTCTTAGTTTCTATAAATTTGAATTGGAGGTGGAAGGCCTGAAGGCTTTATAATGTATTTGTAATTTTATTTTTTTGTTAACAAGTGCTAGGTGGGGGCGTATTTGTAAGTTTTTAAGGGGTTTTTTTGTTATTTTATAAACTTTTGGGGGTAAATAATTTTCGGGTACCCAGAACTGGAACTGTCGGTTTAGGTTCTGGTTTCAAATTTTAAGAACTATCGGTTCTAGCTCCTTAAAAAAATGTAGGGTACTCAGAACTGATCACTCCTGTCTGATAGGGATTTAAGTGGCTTTTTCTTATTTTACTAGACCTAATTAATTTCATCAAACCTTGAGGACGAAAATGTTATTAACTCCTAAGAAGTGTCTACACTTGGCCAGAGCTTTTGAACATCTTAAAGAATATTTTAAAAGTGAAAATATAAATTGAGTTTAATATAATATTGTTAAAAGTCGTTTGACTTTGTTGAATCCCATGTGAAAGATTCATATTAAAAAGCTCCTCTTCCCAGCCTCATCTCTCTGGAGTCAGTCTGAACAAACTCCACAACTTCTTCTACTTTCTCTCTGGTTTTCTTCGATGCTTTGGCGTGGGATCTGAAGCTCAACCAACCCTCTTATTCGTAAGTTTTTCAGTTTCCATTAACTTGGATCTGTTTCAATTTTTGTTTTTTGAGTCTACTCTTTTCATTCACTTTTCAATATTTTCCATAAAATTGAAGATCATCTTCATGCCAATATCATAGCTTTGATAATTTCATTTCATGGGATTTTATTTTTTGTTTAAAGGAACTAGAAAATTAAATTAATTTTGTTTATTTTGAATAAGTAAAAGTAAGTAAATTCTTTGAGTCTACGTCTAGTTAGTCTGAGAGAGACGCGTGAATATAGCTGGACGTCTCGTTTGGACAGTTGTTTTGTCTTTGCTCGTTTTTCCACGACTCGTAATCTCACGTGATGTCACCTTCATTGGGTCGGCTCCTTTCAGCCCATATTTACAGCCCAATTTCTTTTCAATATTAATTTTCTGAAATAATAATATTATGAATTAATTTCATGTATTATGTATGTAACATACTTTAAATGGAGATTATAATAATAAGTATGCTTTTGTATGGTTGGATTATATTTGAAATATGATGTTCATTCTATGGCACAGGCTAGATAATAACCTCAATAAAATGCATCAACCTAATGGTGTTTGAAATTGCGCTTTCGTTGGTCCTAATGGGTGAATTATAGTTAAATTATTTGAACCATTTTAATGTAATAATTTGTGCAGCTGGAGTTGTTTAGATGAATTTTTTAAATGATTTGTTTGATTGTTTAATGTTGTAGGTGACAAGGATTAGTATCAGCATTGTGTTTTCACCAACTAATGGCTACATCTTTGGTAAGAAATGAATCTCCATCATTCAAACACTAGTGGTATTGAGCTGAGAATTCGAAACAGCTATATATAGACACACACACACATGTTTAAAGAGATGACTTTTTGCTTGCATTAACTTGGATGTTCATGTATTCGTGACGTAAAAATGATATCATCACATAGGAGTACAGTGTGGTTTTCATGGTATTGTCAATTGTGGTCATTAGGAGCTTGATTCTTTCTAGTAAATAGTAGTGATTTATTTTTGTAATCTTTAGTGTGTTCGTCATCAGATACTTTTTGAACAAAATGAACTACTTAAATTTCCCATGCATGATTGGAATATTTTTTTGTTATGTATTATGGATTTAGCTATGGCATAATACTGTGTTTTTCTTTTTCCAGATTCACTCAAATAAAAATCTGAAGAGGATGCAATCGAGAAAGTCACATTCATGGTGGTGGGATAGTCACATCAGTCCCAAAAATTCTAAGTGGCTAGCGGAGAATCTTGAGGGTAAGCGAATGAGTATGCAGTTTTGATTCTTTTGTCAGAAACTGAGTCAATAGTAGGTGATGAACAATAAAGTGTTCTTGAGTAGGTTGCAAGCTTTGCTGAAATAAAATATCATTCATAAATTGAGTTTGGATTATGTTTCTTAGTTTTCTTGCCTGATATAACCCTATCCCCTGATATGGGTATCTATGGCTTCATTTAGAAACATTGTCTTATCTATCATTTGGTCAGAACTTTTCTTCAAGATTTTTCATTCTACGTTCTATTAGTGGCAGTGTTAAAATGGGTAATGTGGAACGTGGTTGTATAATTTTAGTTAGTTACTTTCCTGTTAACCTCTCTGTCTTATGTTTTTGACATTCCCTAATTTCATCACCTAGCTGTCTCGCCATGATTAGACTTTCCAAACTTTTCATTTGAAACAACAGAGGACTTCAGTGCTCTAACCATTTGAATGATAAAAATGTCAAACAAGAAACTGACCAAAAGATCCCTGGCTACAGAGATGGACCAGAGTGTTAAGAGGATGTTGAAGCTGATTGAAGAGGATGGAGATTCATTCGCCAAGAAAGCTGGGATGTATTACCAAAAGAGGCCAGAATTAATATCTCATGTTGAAGAGTTCTACCGAATGTACAGGTTTTTGGCTGAGCGTTATGATCATGTGACAGGAGAATTGAGAAAAAATATTCCGTCTGACCTCCAATCCCAGGGCTCAGGCATTTCTGACATTAGCACTGAGTTGCCCTCTCCATGTCCCTCTCCCGAACCAAAGCCAAGCCGTCCTAGATCTGGCCCCCGAGCTGCTGGTTTTGATGTCTTCCTTGGCTCTTTTGGAAGCAGCACTGATCTTTACCATAAAGAAGGAGATGACTCATCTTCATTAACAGATTCTGAGTCAGAATCCGATAATTCTTCAGTGAACAACTACTCTAGTTTAGTTGGGAATGGTGGTGATCAAGGGCTCCAGCCAAAAGTCATGGAATTGGAGACTGAACTTCGCGAAGATAAAGAAAAACTCCGGTTGCAACAGGAAGCAAATGCTGATGGATCAGCAAAGGATCCTAAAATTGTGAAATCTGAAGAACTGCTTGCTAGAATAGCAAACTATGAGGAAGAGCTGAAACATGCTAATGAGCAGATAAAGCTTTCGGGAGAAGAAATTTCTAGGTTGAAGATTGAGCTTGAAAATAATCAGTCATCGGAAATCTCCAACCATTTGCAGGCTGAATCTGGATCATTGGCAGAGACAAGTATTAAGACATGGGATGCTGAGCTGGACTTAGAGAAAAGTCAAGTGTCAAAACTTCAAGAAGCAGAAGCATTAGATGCAGATACCAAGATTCAGGCACTTTTGGATGAGCTAAGAACCACAAAAGAGAAACTTCAGGGTTCAGAAAAAGAAATTGCTACTTTAAAACATGAACTTGAGACTATCAGGTCAGAAAAAATCCAAAATTTGCAGAAGCAACTTGAATTGTCTCAGAAAGATGTCATAACATGGAAAGCTAAGCTGAACTCAGAGAAAAGAGAAGTTTCCAAGCTGCAAGAAAGAATCGCAAGGTTGAAAACTAGTTTATCAGACCGCGATCACGAGATCAGAGATTTGAAAATAGCATTATCTGATGCTGAACAGAAGATTTTCCCTGAAAAAGCACATATAAAGGCTGAAATAGCAGGTTTGCTAGATGAAAAGGTTTGCTTGCAGGAGCAGCTAAGAGAATGGGAATCACGTGGAAGGCGTTTAGACAATGAGATCAGAAAGATCAAGGCCGAGAAAACTGAGATGGAGCAAAGGCTTTATGATGAAATTAAGGAGTTAAAGTCAGAGATTGCGGTGAGGGAGGATTGTATAAACGAGTTGAATGGACATATTGATGCATTAAATTCCAAGAGAGATGAACTCAATCCAGAAATTAATAAACTAAAAGCTGATATGAGTTTTAAAGATGGTAAGATTAGTGTAATGGAAAAGCATTTGGAGGAATTACATATGGAACATGTGAAGCTAAATGCAGGTGTGGAAGAAGGTCGTAAGGTTGTAAGGGGATTGAGAGAAAGAAGTAAAGAAATGGAGAAGGAGATAGAGAGACAAAGAGTTATGATAATGGAAGGAGCGGAATAGAAACGAGAAGCAATAAGGCAGCTTTGTTTCTCACTAGAGCATTATAGAAATGGTTATCTTAGGCTTCGAAAAGCATTCATTGGAAACAAGGGAGTTGCAGTTTTAGTATGAATATTATGTAATGCAATTGGGTTGCTTGTTTTATTGCAATTTCTTTTTTGTAATTTGCAACTTCTTTTGATGTTTGGTTTGGATATACCATGTTTGATAATTGATATATTTATTTTTTTTTATAAATTCTTGTATTTCATGAAAACTGATTCCATAAATTGATTAAAATATTATCAAAAATAGTTTTTTAATGTTTTAAGAATATATTTTAGACATTAAAATTATGGTTATATTTAAAATAGATAAAAAAAAATTAGATTATTAAAATGTATTCAAAAATAGTTTTTGAATTCATTCCTAACTCTGTAAAATCGGAATATGGGAAGTCTTTTTTCTAAGTTTTTCTTTAATTTTTAACTTTAAAAATAATTTTTTAATGTTTTATATAATATATTTTAGACATTAAAATTATGGTTGTTTCTAACTTTTTTTTCTTAATTAAACCAGAACCTACTACTTTCGCTTAGGACAAAAGACGCTTTGAGAGATGAGGCTATGCCAAACGCTCTTCAATTTCGTCGAAACAAAATATAATTTATAATATAGTAAATAATTATACGTTGCAATGAAAACTATCCGCTCCAAAGCCTAGGATTTTCAGAAAGTATCAAATAACTCCATGGTATCATTTGGTTTCATCCAATTTTTTGATTTAATATTCAATTAAACAATGAAAATTCGTATTACCCTTCTCATCACTTAACAAAATAATAAAAATTTTATTTTATTTTTTTATTTTCCCAATAATTTTCTCTCTAAAATTTTTCTAAATGAGTAATGCTACAGTCACCGAAGTAGTGCACCAAATTCATGTATCGAATAACGTAACAAAATCCTGACCGTTGATTAATTTTAACTTAATATTAATCAATGGTTAAGATTTTATCATGTCATTCAATGTACAATCTTCGACTACTATATCTTTTTCGTTTTCCAAATAGATGTTGGTGATCTTTTGATATTATCGAAAAACAAGAAATTGCAGCAATTGGAAATAAACAGAAGTAGAAAATTAATCCACTTCAAGAAGGGCCCAATGTAGATTAATGTCTTCCTTTTCCTTACTTTGACCATGTGCTCTGAGTTGATGGTGAGCGAACCCGCGACGTCCTTGCAAGGAGCCCACTCCAAGGAGCATCCCATCGGAGTCTTGCACCACTATAAGCAACCAAAGAAGATCAAAAACAAATAATTGTGAAGTCAAGCATCCAATGAGTTAATGAAAGTAGATTTGTTTGAAAGATAAGAATAGAGAAAAATTAAACCAAAATTCAGTAAAGAAAATCAGAATTCGAAATACGTAGAAAATTCAATGGCTTGACGTAGGCTATGTCAGGACCATCTGCGGGGAAAAAACTAAAAAAATTTATGAGTTATGGGTTTTAGCTGTTTGGCTTCAATTTTGTTCATATAAAATTGTATTCTGACTAGAATTACACCCAACAAACTTAGAACGAAAGATCTCTTAAAAAGAAAAGAAAACAGTATAAGTAAAAAACCGAAAAAGGTTACCATCTGGTGGTCTAGTGGCTCCTTCCAGGCTCTTTGACCGTGATAGCCGTGTGAGAAGACTACCAGGGCATTTTGGTGATTTCATCATGAATGAGATGAATTAGTTTTTAAGGTTTTTGGTATGTAAGACCATCTCCAACCTATTGCACCAAATTGGTGTAAAATACTATTACATCTCTAATCCATTACACCAAATATTACACCAAAAAGAATGTTATTTAGAATATTTTATTTCTTTTTCTTTTATTGTACTAATCAATAATTAATCTATTTCACTCATTATTTTTGTATATATTAATTAAATATTGGGAATGATATTTTTATTAAATAATAATTACTTTGAAAATTATACTAATTTAATAAAATTAAGCATTTATTTAATCAAATAAACATTACATTTAATATAGAAAAACATTACATAATATAAAATGATACCAAAAAAAAAAAAAAAAAAAAAAAGCAACAACAACACAAAAGTAAAATTCCATATTGATAGTAATTTAATTTTCTGAATTAGTATATTCTTCCCACAAATGATCAATTAATGCATTTCGAAGAGCATGATGAGCCTCTGTATCCTTGATTTGTCTATGTCGAGCAAGAAAATTTTGAAATCAGACATTTTCATCTACGACAATTTCAACTTCGGGAGTTGGCGCTTCCATCTGTTCTTTTAATTTTAGTGTTTTTAAATTAGTGTTAATTTTTATTTTGAGTTATTGTAGTTTAATATTTGCATTGAATAAAGTTTTGTTTTTAATTTTTCATCATTTTTTGAATTATATCATTATTATGAATTTATTATTATAAATATTAACATAAATAATAATCAAATTAAATTAAATACAAATAATTAAATTTGGTGTGATTTTTGGTGTAAAATTTAATAACCAAATTAACTTAACAAAATTTAAAAAAAAAAAAAAAAATTAATGGTGCTACAATGCCACGCCAAATTTGGCGCGGTACTGTAACGCCACACCAAATTGGCGTGGCACTTAGCGCTAGGTTGGAGCAAAAAAAAAACCAAAATGGCATGGGTTGGAGATGCCCTAAGGGGGACACGGGAAATTGATGGGTGTTCCATCATCTCTGTCATTTTGCTGCAATTGTGTTTGCTTGTTGAATAGAAACTGATTCCCTCACCTTGAGTTGCTGCTTTGTGTGTTTTTTGTTCTTCTAGTGGGTTATTTGATTTGATTGCTTTACTTTGAGCTGGTGCCTTGTGTGTTTGATGTTCTTCTAGTTGGTTTTTGATCTAATAACCTTACATTGGTGCTAATCGTTTTATTTCGCTTGGACTTTCCTTGGTTTGATGGTACAGATCCGACTGGTTGGATTTTTTTGCAATTGGCTGAACAATTCTTTCAGTTTTATTGTATTGAGGACACTCAACGTCTTTAGCTTATCATACCATCAAACCGATAATGATTCCAGTGGTGCTTCCAATGGTACCAGTGGATGTTTATCAATAATCAGCTCTCTAATTGGCAAAATTTTACCAGATCGATAATGATTCGTTTTGCCAATGTCAACTTAGAAGCCCCTCAAGCTATTTTGGCCAAGCTGTGCCAGACATCTATAGTGGATGAATACCAAGCAACTTTTAAGGAACTAGCTAATCTTACAACACACCTACCTCAGTCTTTTTTCTTGGATTATTTCATATCGAGCCTCAAACCTGAACTCAAACATCCTATCCTCGTGTTTTGGCCCACAACAATGAGTCAGACCATTGCCTTGCCCGCTAGCAAGTTGTCTTGAATCCAGCCCATTACACTAAGTCCACTTACGTCAAACCTATCATAGTAGGGACTTCCAGCTTTACCACTACTCTGTCATCGTCGATGGCACCACCTTCATCAGCCATGTCATTGCCCTCTAAATGATTGTCTTCGGCTGAGATTCAACAAAGGCAGGACAAAGGAATCTCTTATTATTGTGATAAGTGGTTCACACCGTGTCACCGTTGCAAGAACCTGCGCCTCTTTTACATTGGTTTGGATTCGGAGGACCAAAGTGAGTTAGAGACTTTGGATTACGTCATGCTGATATCTCTTCCGGTTGCTCCACCTTTGTTGGTGGTGCTAGATGAGTCCTTGGAGCTTCCTTCCAAGATCAGTTTCCATGTGATGTTTGGTACACCTTCTTTTGCTTCCTTGCGATTTGTGGGCCAGTTGAATGCTGCTTCCATTCAAATCTTCGTGGATGGTGGGTTGACTTTGAATTTCATCCAACCCGTGTTGCTAAGTATCTTGGTCTAGCCATTGAAGTTGTTTTACCACCTACTACCGTGGTTGTTAGGGATGGGGCTAAGGTACCCATAAAGGGTTGTGTTCATTCTATTAAGATAACCATCCAAGGCATGACATAGTGGTCGATTTATACTTGTTACCTTTCCATGGGTTGGATGTCTTGTTAGGCATCACTTGGTTGATTACTTTTGGCACCTTATCATTGAATTTCAATACTTTAATATTGGGTTTTACTTCTGGGGACAAGATGGTTGAATTACAAGGGATGGCTGCGTCAATTGCGCTAATACAATATAGTTCTTTTGTTGCCTTCAAGAATCCCAAGTGTAGACGGCAAAATATACAGTTACAAAATAGGGGGAATGATCTCGTGAGGTTAAGGCCACCAGCAATCCGTTGTACCTGCACACACAAGAAAACAAGCGTGAAGCTTACGGAAAGCACCAGGGTGGTGTTTCCTATAGGCATTCTGATGCTCAAGTCAACAAATCTAGGCGAGGCTAATTTAGAGGGGGTTAGGGAAAGAGAAGGTTACCAGAAGTTAGTCAGAGATTGGGACTACGGCAGCGATGTAAGGCTCTCGAGAGTGAGAACTATGGGGCTAGAAAGCGTAGTCTTCCATGCCTGTGAGAGGACTGACCTCTTGTTTAAATAGCAGTTGTAGGATCTTCGAGTCCTAGTAGGATTATAAGTCCTTGGAAGTTGAGGTTTAGCGAATAGGAAAGCCTTTGACTCCTTTACCTTAGTGGGAGAGAGAGTCCCAATAGGTCTAAGACATGGATCTTAGATGAATTGGGATAGTAATGGATCTCTTCGATAAGATCTGGATAGTGTCGGAATAGGTAGGCAACCTTGGGGTCCAAGTAGAACTTAGGTCCAGTAGGTGATCTTGGATCAATAGGCTCGGACCCAGACAAGCTGATGAAGAGGTCTAAATGAATCAAGGCCTTTCTTGATTAGGCTCAAGCAGTGAGCAACATGGTAGGTGTAATGAGTGGGCCCAATAAGCGAACACCGTCATGGGCCCAATCGGGATTTGGCCATGACTTCGAGCTTTGTTGAAGGTGTCTTCCCTTTGGGCCTATTAAGGTCGAGGGCATTTTTTGGCCTTAACACCAAGCAACTAATGTGTTCTTTCGATTGGAAGTGTTGCCAGTGACAAACTCAAAGCATTCAGAGATACCAGCAAATCTTAAGTTGGTTTTACACCAATTTTCATCAGTATTCGCTCGACCCAAAGGCCTTCCTCTTGCTCGGTCTAATATCATGCCATTCCTTTACAACCAAGTACAACACCCGTGAACATCAAACCATAGCTATCCTCATTTTTA